TAGAGGCTGTTCCCAAAGCTGCTGCTTATATGCAGGAAGCAGATCACATCCCTAAAGCAGCTACTCAATTGCTTGTGATAGATCCCACCATAGAGTTGATTGACAGGCTTATCATGGGGAATAACTACATCCAGCTGCCCAGCCACTCAGGCCCAGCCAAGTTAACATATAACCTTAACTACCACAGAGAAGCTCAGTATCGTCAATCAAAATAAGGTCAGGAGCTGACTATGGAACAGACCATCAATTGTTCAAGCTGAAGCTGAAAAAAAAAATGAAAACAAGTCCGCAAGAGCCAAAATATGACCTTGATTATATCCCACCTGAGTTTAGAGACAATCTAAAGAATAGATTTGACACACTGAACACCAATGACCAAAAACCAGAGGAATTGTGGGATGACATCAAGAACATCATGCGTGAAGAAAGCAAAAGGTCATTAAAAAGACAAGAAAGGAAGAAAAGACCAAAATGGATGTCAGAAGAGACTCTGAAACTTGCTCTTGAACTGAGAGTAGCTAAAGCAAAAATGACAAGATAAAGAGCTGAAATGAAGATTTCAAAGAGCAGCTCAGGAAGACAAAACAAGTTATTGTAATGAAATGTGCAAAGAACCTGGAGTTAGAAAACCAAAAAGGAAGAACATGCTTGGTGTTTCTCAAGCTGAAAGAACTGAAGAAAAAAATTCAAGCCTCGAGTTGCAATGTTGAAAGGTGACCTAATAATTATCAAATAATATCATTAATATTACATACAACTAAAACATTGCTGAAGATCATTCACAAATGGTTGCACCAGTATATTGACAGGGAACTTTCAGAAATTCAAGTTGAATTCAGAAGAGGATGTGGAATGAGGGATATCATAGCTGATGTCAGATGGATCTTGGCTGAAAGCACAGAATACCAGAAAGATGTTTACTTGTGTTTTATTGACTATGCAAAAGCATTCAGCTTTGTGGATCATAACAAATTATGGCTAACACTGAGAAGAATGGGAAATTCCAGAACATTTAACTGTGCTCATGAGGAACTTGTACATAGATCAGGAGGCTTTTGTTTGAACAGAACAAGGGGATAACGCATGGTTTAAAATCAGGAAGGGAGTGTGTCAGGGTTGTATCTTTTCACTGTACTTATTCAATCTGTGTGCTGAGCAAATAATTGGAGAGTTTATATGAAGAAGAACATGGCATCAGGATTGGAGGAAGATTCATTAACAATGTGTGATACACCGATGACACAACCTTGCTTGCTGAAAATGAAGATGACTTGAAGCACTGACTGATGAAGATCAAAGACTACAGTCTTTAGTTTGGATTACACCTCAACATAAAGGAAATGAAAATCTTCACAACTGCACACAATACGTCATGATAAATGGAGAAAAGATTGAAGTTGCCAGAGATTTCATTTTACTTGAACCCACAATCAACATCCATGGAAGCAGCAATGAAGAAATAAGACATTGTCTTGCGCTGGGCAAATCTGCTGCAAAAGATTTCTTTAACAGGCATATGGGTAGATACGCTTCTTGGAGCAATCAATCATGGGAGAATAGAAGGGCTGTGTATCCACAGGGATACAGCTCAGGGCAGGAATGCATGGGAGGGAAGGACACAGGGAAGAGGTGGCTATGGGGAGGAAGTGAGAGGGGAGCTGTTGTACTGTGGGAGATTACAGGCAATATCATGAGACAGTGTATGTGAACTGCTGTATAGAAGATGAATTCGCTCTGTAAACTTTCACCAAATCACGATGACATTAAAAAAAAAAAAAAATCTATCAGTTCTACCCAAAGCAATCTATACATTCAATGCAATCCCAATCCAGATCCCATCAACATTCTTTAGGGATATGGAAAAAATGATCACTAAC